TGTAGGACGCCAGAAAGTCCTGCTTCCTCAAGGAGGTTATTTGAAACTGAAGCCAAGAATCTAAATGGCATGTAGAATGATTGAAACTGATGGGCATATCAAATTGGGGGGGGGTGTTCTTTCTAATCTCTGGGTAAGATTTGCTCCAGTGGGAACCCAGACACAACACCAAAAGCTATATTAAAAGAATGCCCTAGAATATGAAAAGAGATTCCAGCTCTCAGAGCCTTAATTATGCAGAACTTTGCACATGAGACTCAGAAAAGCAGGTTGGCAAAACAAATCCAAGGACTATTCTTATTTTAGATCCTAGCTTAAACATGTTAATTTTCTATAGGGAGTTTCCCCTGATATAACTGCACCTCTTTCACCCCCAAACCCATGTGCTGTGCTAAGTTGTGTTTTAATTGCTCTCTATTCCTTTCTTTTTATAGTATAATCACCTGCCTCTCTACCCTACCATTCTTATCCCCTTCAGTTATCCTGATTGTTCCATGTGCTGTTGACAAGGGTTACTCAGTGGTATCCAACTCCAACTGGTGACTAGGAAATCTGGATGGTCCAAGACAGCTTCACACACAGCTGGCACCTTGCAGAGATGGCTAGAAGGCTAGGCATCTCTCTTTCTTGATACAATCTCAGAACTTCCCCAGGTAGTCTCTTTAGTAAGGTATTTAGATATTTTACATTTTGGCTCATCAGTCAAAAAAAAAAAAAAAAGATGAAGAAGACAATCATCTTTAAAGGAGCCCCAAACTAGGAAAGCATCACTTCTACAAAATTTTATTGATTAAAGTAGTCATAGATCAGCCTAGATTCAATGGGAAAAGAAACAGAATTCATGTTATAAGGGGATGAATGCCAAGAAATTTTCAGATATACTTAATCTGCCACAACACAGAAATGTATGTTCTATACATTACCCTATAGGCAATTGGGAGGCATTGAGTTACAAGCAGAAGGGTAGTTGTGCCAGGTCATGGTGTCAGAACTGGGCATCAAAGACAGGAAGTGTCCAACTGGGATCATAAAGAACAATGCAGAGACTTCCTTTCCATCCTAAGGACACGAGATGGTGGCAGCTCTAAATAAGGGTGGCTGAGTGTGGCAGATAATATAATGGTTACATTGCTGGACTCCCACATAGTAGACCATGGTTCGAGTCCTGGACCTGGTGGCTTGAAACTCACGCCAGAAGCATTTGCAAACGTGCCCGAAATCTCAAGAAGAAAATGGGAGATTGCAGCATTGCCTTCCTCCCCCCTTGGGGGTGATTTCTTGATTTTTCTCTCTCTGTCTCTCTGTCTGTCACTCCAGCAAGCACATACACCCTGTAGCAAAAATCTCTAAAAAAATTAAAATAAGCAGGAAGGGGTTTTGACAAGAACAGATAGATTTGTTTATAAGACCAAATCAACAGACTATGGAACACTGGGGATCAAGAAGACACAAGGGCAATTCCCAGGTAAGAGATGGTGGGACAATGGCCGGGGGGAGCTCAAGGCAACGGTGGAGGCTCTTCCTATCAATTGATGAGTGTGCTTCAGCCTCCGCAGCACAGCCTGAAATCCTCTGCTCAGTTTGCAGACCTTTTCTAAGGATTTAGTCATAAGCAGTGACTTTTGCTGAAATGGAATTTAAAAAAAAATACCAAAAGGCAATTTGATCAGCACTAGTGAAACGGAGCTAAAATGTCAGCAGTTGGGATCTATACTAGTAAAACCTGAACAGAAATTTCCTTTCCTTTTCTTTTCTGTTTTTGTTTGTTTGTTTGTTTTCATTAAAGGAGAGAGAGTGGAAGAAAAGGGTATTTTTTTCTTTTCCTTTCTTTTCTTTTTTTAGGTTTTTACCATGGAGCATGTGTGCTCACCAGAGAGAGACACTAAAAGACAGAGAGGGAAAGTAAGAAATCACCCCCCAAAGGGGGATGGTCATGCTGCCATCTCTTCTTCTCCATTCTCCTCTTGGGAGTTTGGGCACATATGCACACACATGACATGGTTTTCAAGCTGCTTGGTCTGGAATTCAAACCATGGTTGGTCTTATGGAGGTCCAGTGACTTAACCACCATGTCACCTGCTGGCCCCCAGAGTATATTTTCTAATTCCACCTCCTGGCGCCCATTCATCACAGGGAAGAGTGTGTGCTGTCCAGTTTCACAAAGGGGTAGCCAGGACTCATTTTGTCGTGCTCACGAAGCTCATAGAGGATGAAAGTGTGTTAAGTAGTGAGTATTACTCTGATGGACTGGGACTTCATCTTCAGTGCTGAGTTCTAAAGGAATTAGCTCAGCCACCATCACTCACTCCATGGGAGTCCATGGTTCTACTGGTTCTACTCACTAGACAGGCTGGTTCTACTCACTGACAGTCTTCCAACAAATCCATCCAAAGGATGGCAGTGTAAAAGCACAATGTAAGAGCAGGAAGATGACTAGAAGGCTGGGAACCATCTAGCTTCTCTGACATCCTCACTAAACTTCCTGCCTGAGAAGGTTCTGAGAGTCTGAAGCAAAAGGAACAGGCCTATCTGGATAAAATTGGAAAAGAAAGCTGGCATTGGGGAGAGGGTGCTTTGGATTTAGGAAGTCCAGGTTGAAACCAAGTGGTCACCTTATTGATGCAAATGTATAATTTTATGTAGTGTTCATGCTTATAACACCCACACACACAGAAAGTGAGTCTCAGATCCCAGTTTCATGGTCTCTGAATCTGGATTGTCTGATTCTCTACCTTGGGAAAATTGGGGCAGGTTAGTTAACCTCTAGATATGCCTTATCTATGAAATAGAGGTATCACAGAAATGGATTATTATCTATTGATGATAACATGTATAGTATCCCACTTAAAAAGAAAGAAAAAAGAAAAGAAAAACGTGTATAGTATCCCCAACTGGACTGATGAGAAATGTATTCATGTAGGAACATTCACTTTACACGCTAATGGTATATATGATTGAATTTATAAAATAAATTAAAATAAAATAAAATGCATTAATTAAAAAAAGAAATAGCAGTATCATTAAAAAGTAAGTGGTCATTATAGAAATTCAATGAGCTAGAGTAGTGCCTGGCATGTGGTGAGTTCCCCGTCATTGTTCGTATAGTTTTGAGTGGAGATAATTTACTCACTCTCCAAGCATTTGACTCTTATTCCACTCCTATTGTGAGTCAGGGACTGATAATGAAAATAGAAATAAAATAACCCTTCTTTTGAGAAACTCGTATCAGTCTACCCATTCACTCACACTTTGTGCACCTGTTCAGTCAACTGATGTGTATCTGCCAAGCGCCTGCTATCAGCAGCACTGCCCTAAAAACTGAAGAACTTCCAAAATGAAAACAAAACAGAATGACTTCTGCCCTCAAGGAGCTCATAATTACTTCATTGACTCACCTAATAATTTCGCCAGCTCAGATGAGAACTGACTGTCGGTTCTGAGGCCCTGAACTAGGCAATACAATGTTGTGCAAAACTTTTCAATTATTTTGTTTTAGAAAACCTTGCTTTACTACTGAGAGCTTCTTTCTGTTAATAACTTCAGCCTCGTCATGTGTACACCCTCCTTTAGCCTCACATTCTTCCTCAATGCCCCAGCTCATTTCTTTACTCTCAGGACCACACACAACACTTAAGGGCAAGAAAATGAAAGGATGGGTGATATGTCTTCACACAAATGTCCCATGTGAGGACAGCATTTACCAGCCCTAAGATGATTACACAAGTGTGATTATGTGATGGACTACACTGACCATTCAGTAGGATCACAATGCCTCAGAGTACTGAGTTATTCCATGGCTGTGGGATACTGATGGTAATGATGATGGTGATCGTGATAAGAGTAACAACAATGTTTTTATTATATGGCACCAAAGAATAACATTTAAAGTGAAAATAGACCTGGAGGGAAACTCATCTATACCTCTTACTAGTTATTATGTTTGAAGAAATTCATTCATTTTTCTGGATCCCTCTGAGTTTCCTCTAAGTAAAATGGCAATAATAATCAGAATGACATCCCAAGATTGTTTGTAAAGACTAAATTATAAAACTTAATGCATATTGCTTATCACCCTATCTACCACACATGGCTTATAAAAATTGGTGGTTATTCACATTATTATAATTTTTCAGGAGGGGTCCTACTGGTATAGAAATAATGTGGAAATGATTGCACTCCTCACAAATTAAAAATAAAAACACTGAAAACTAAGACTAGAACAAGTACATACATGACTATGCTTCATGTAGTCCAAAAACGCACTACACATAAATATATTACAGGAAGAAAATAAAAATGCCTCGATTATAATAAACAGAAATACGCTCCTTAGAAATGCAGCAAATAAAGTATAGCAATGGAGTAGAAAGATGCAACCCCATCTAATGTATAGAATTGTTGCATAGGAATGTAGCAGAGATGCAAGACAAAAATGGCCGAATCCCACTCTCATACAAGACAGTGTGTTTACATCAAGCCCACTGACTACAGAGCCAAAGGAACTTCTCTCATTCTGCATTGGAAACCAAAAATCCTGTTGCAATGTGTAAAAGATCTCTTGCTTTTGAATCACTGCTAATTAGGAAGAAACATGGAGACAATCAGTGTTTTGTATCATTTTATTAAAACATCAAGAAACAAGAGGGTTCCTTTTTATTACTCCAGCGTTGATGAATGTTTCAGTAGCAATTAAAAAAAAAAAAGTGCTCAGCGTCTGCAGGCAAGTGCAACATATCAAATGAAGCCTTTTCTTATGAGTATAGGCATGAAAAGATTAGCCAGTCTTACCCTCAGTACTGCTGGGATGTCATGTGTTTGTAGAAAATTACCCAACAAAATCTATGGTTTTCTTAAAGCAACACCAATCTGGAGTCCATGCCTCTTCATTATTGATTTTGGTCTCAAAGTACTTTGTTATAACTGGCATTTTTGTAGGTAGGCTATTTTGAAATATTAATGCAGGTTGATTTTCCCATACTTTTGTAGTTTCCTTTTTTTTTTTTTTTCTGCCTGAGTGGAGGATTTCTAAACTCACTGCATCATAGGGGATGAGAATTTATCCTGGAGAAAAAAAGAATCAAGTTTTTGCCTTTTAATTCCAAATAACGTTTTTCTTGAAATATATAACAAAAGATAAAAAAAAAAACAAAAAAAAAAAAAAACAAGCCCTCGAAATGATTACAGGAAGCTTGGAGAGGGGCAGTGACCTTGTTTCTTTAAGGATATCATTATTTTGTCCTCACTTTTAAGTTGGACATAAAATTTTATATTTTCAAAGTGGTGTTCTTTTGGCCTTATGCATCCAAAAGGGGAGTGTGCCATTGAGAAGCATAATAATATCCATTTACTTCTCCTTATTTTGAATGCATTCTATTTTGTCTCTGTGAAAGCTTTTGAAATTTTCTCTGTGATCTTCTAAAATTTCACCTTTTCGTAACAAAATATATTTTCTATATCCTATGTTCCACTTTGTGCCTTTTAAAATTGAGAAATTCTTAGCAATATTTCTTCAAATATTCCCTTTCCTAATGCTTCTCTCCTCCAGAATTCCTATCTTGAAGAAGCTGATATTGTCCTTGTGTCTAATAGCTATATTGTTACCCTTTCTAGCTTTTTATTTATTCTTATTTCTTGGACAAGTTCTTAGTCTGACCTTTCAGATTCATAATTTGTTCTTTAGATGTAGGCTCAGTTTTTTGTCTACATAATAATTTATTTTTAAATCATTATGTTTTTCCTGGCCGGTGTGTCCAAATTTTTCACCTTCAAAATGGCTTCTCTCTGCTACAAATATCTTCTTCTGTTCTTTGAAAGTATGCTGCATGCTTGTTTCATCTGGTTCACTAGTTTTGCTTCACTGGCTCTAGATTCTCTACTCTGTTGTCTTTATTTAGCAGATGTTGTACTCCTCATATGTTCATGTTAATACCCTGTAAACTGATAGTCCTTGGATGAAAATTAGAATAGGCAGAAAGGCAAAAAAAACCTTTCCCTTTACTACCCTCCCTCCCAGATAATTGTGCCTCTGAGCAAAACCATGCTCTTTCCCAAGATCTTTTATTCCTTTCAACTACTAAAAAATGCAAAGCCTACTCTTGGCATACAGGTGGTACAAAAACAGTGGACCAGATCTAGCCTATGGGTTATTGTCCACCTACCTGGGCCCATCCAGTAATAGAACCCTAGAAGTAATATTAATTAATGAAATCACAGGACAGCCCTCTCAAAGCTCAGTTCTGGAAAGAACACCATACACGGCTAGATGGTCCTGGCTGGGAAAATTACGGGTAAGAAGCTGAGTAATAAATCCATATGTACTGATAAAAATTTGAGTTATAGAGAAAATGCCCACTTTGAAGTTTGTTTAAAATATCTCCATATTTTTAAAATTATTTGATCTTTAAAATACTTCATGGTGTGTTGGACATGTTCTAGTGATGTTTCTAACGTCACAGATAATGCATGTAAGGTGGGTAAAAGCAAAGCCGCGTTTTTGTCCAGTGTACCACACTGCCTCACACGTAATGCTGAAACAGGAATGAAATAAGGCAATTTGATGTGTTTTCAGGAAAGATCCACATCACAATCTCCCTAAGACTTACAACTTCATATAAAAATTGCAGTGAATTCTAGCTTACACCCTAAAGTCACTAAAAAAATGCTTTTCTGGGTTATTTTTAAGAAAAGTAAATTTCCTGTATCATATGTTTGGAGAGCCATCTGAAATTGTATTTCACATCTCTGGACCCAGGCTTGAATAATACTATCTCTACTAAAGTTATAAAGAATGAAAAAACATCTGCAGATCAAAAAGAATATTACCTTTGCAGCAAAAGGACACAAAATGCAATGAGAGGTGGTAGTTTTAGCTTTTCAAACTCTCTTCTCTCCAACAGAAGGAGGTGAGATAGAGATCTCCCATTCTTTGTGGTGTCAGAGATGCTGAACTCAAGATAAGATGGCCATTTCTTTTAATAGTCAATTGGCTATGCATTCTAAAATAAGTTTTGCCACAGGTATTTTACAACTAGGTCATTATTGCTCCCCAAGACATTAATTGCTAGAAAGATACAATGCAAACATTGTTATACCAAATAGCAATAGAAACTTCAGGTTTTCAGTGTATAGAAGAGGGTTCCATCTCTAGGAAGCAGATTCAAATCCAGACCCATCATTCCAAGTCCATATTTATTTTTGATACCAAAAAATAATACTATTAAAATACTGAGCACAGCTTCCTTGATGATAGAGAAGCAGACAAATAAATATTTATTTGCAGCTGCTGCTAGTTTTCAGAGATTGGGATATGACTCTGTTCGGAATAGAATTGCAGATATTATTAACTGACCTTTTGGTACCAAGCAGGTGAAACAAGGAAACAAAACAAAACAAAAACCTTGCATGCAGCTCAATTCCTTTTGCTTCATTAGAATTATCAGCCTCTGGGGCCACCAGGTGGCATGATGGTTAAGGGTACTGGACTCCCACATGGCCGACCACGATTTGAGTCCGGACCGGGTGGCTTTCTCTCTCTCTCTCTCTTTCTCTCTCTCTCTCTCATTTCTCTCCCCCCCCCCAGTCAAATTAAAATAAATTAAATAAATAAATTTGGATAAAATAATAATAAAAAAGAAAAAAATTAAATTAAATAAATCTTAAAAAAAAAAAAAAAGAATTATCAGCTTAAAGTTTTGTGAGGAAACTCAGTTCACCTTCTTCTTTTCTCCCTACCAAGAGGAGGGCATTGATTTCATTGATCATGTTCCACAATATTTGGCTGGGTCAGGGTAAGTAGCAAACAATGTCTAAAAGTTTCCTCCAAAGGAATGGATTTCTCATCTTCCTCTGCCATCATGAGAAGGGAACAGCCAGCTAACATGTGGCCCTTCTCTTCATGCTGAATGCCAGAGATTGCCCTTTCTCTCCCTGACTTGCAATTCTGGCAAGCAGAGAACTGCACTTCGGGAGCACCTGTGGTCGAGATTTCCCTTCTTCTGCAGCTTCCTTCTCTGCACGTAAAGGAAAGATGTGCCTATGCCGCTGCCTCTACCTTCCCTATGCACCTGTTCCGATGCTGTTCAGTTTTCTGTCCATTTGTTATATTGGTTGGAAGATGTAAAACCATGAGACGCAGGTGAGGCCTCGATAACACAAGTGAAGATCCCTCAAGGCCTTGAATCCAGGCCATATCCCTAAAGCTATGTGGACCTTCCTTCCAGACCTAATAGGAAGAATAAATACAACGTAGAGTGAGATTCCAGGATTCCTACAATTCCCCAAGATTCCTCAGACAGTAATGTTAATATTGTTAATTATTACTATTAACTATTAATATTATGAAACATTCTAAAATTTTGTTGGCTCAGCCTCTGTGGTGCAGTCCATAGCATACCTGATTGCCCTGGAAGCCAAGCGCCAACTGTGGTTCAAGTTCCTGGCTAAGTCTACCTGAAAACACAGGAGGAGATGTTCATCCCCAGATCCAAGTGGTCTGGATGGAAGACTGAACAAAGGAGATGATGGCCTGATGGAGCCCAGTGGAGGGTGCATTCTCTCTCTCTCTCTCCTTCACACATGCATATTCTATCATAAACTAGGAAGATTTCAAGAGAGAAATTTCATCAGACTTGAAAGAGATAGATTCATAACTAATAAAGGTGTAAAATTTTAAAAATATATTTTCATTTCTTCAATCATCTTTGTTGGGTTTAATCTTACTAGAAATTCATTTTCTACATGTCTACCAAAGAAGATGTCTAGAATATTGCTCAAGAAATCTGTGTATTAAACTTGGTCATAAATATTTGAAAGTTGTCCTTAATATTTTTTTCTTATTTATAAACTGGGTTTTTTTTAGGATGTCTTGGCCATAGGGTACATGTACTCTCTGGAGAGAGCAGAGACAAAGGGAAAGTGAGAAATCACCCTCTGCCCCCAAGTGGATATCCACTATGCAATCCTTTCTTAATTCTCCTATAGGGATTTTGGGCACACATGCACATATGCCCGGGTTCAAGCCACCAAGTCTGGGTCTCGAACTGTGCAGCAGGTTATGTGGGATCCAGTGCCTTAACCACTATGCCTCCTGCTGGCCTCAGAAACTTGAATCTTAAAAACCTGCCCAAATTCAAATAATAATTATGAGAATAAAATTAAGTAATAAATCAGAAAATGCTTTAAAAACTGAAAATGATACAAATAATAGGAAATTTAAAACCATAAAAATTTTATTATGTAATGCGATGTAAGTCTAATAAACAATAATTGTAGTATAAGATAAATATTAAAAGCTATTTCTATTTCTTTACATTTCTTTTTTCTTATTAAGACTCTCTGCACTTCCACCATTAGACTTTTTAAATTTAATTTATTTTTGCATTTGAGATATTGTTAAATTATTTGGAAACAGGGACCTTTAAATGTATATCTAGCATCAATGATTCCAAATTGTTTTATTCTCATCTTGATATACCTTGTTTTCCTCTAAGTGGAGGAGATTGAAACGTGATCAAATATAGAAAAAGAAATTACAGCCTTAAAAAGGCTGCTAACTCACAGAAGGTGCCAGCTGCTTTGGGGAAATATGTTTCTCTGAAAGTCAGGGAGGGGAATCAATTTTTATTCTCTACTATCAAGTCCCAAGTCCAAATAATAAATGAGTTGAATACCAGCTGGATCAGAAACTAAGCCCTTCATAGCTAAGCTCTCATTCTAGTCAAGAAATATTTTTGAGGGCACACATTGTTATTTTTTGCTTTCAACCCACTGGGAGCATTGCAGATGTTCAGGAATCTGGTTTAAGATTCTAGCTCTGCCCTATAAAAGAGAGAATGCTGTTGGGGAGAAAACATTATCAGCCTTAATTCGAAGCAGTCCGTTTCTTGGGCATCTGAATACTATAGTAGCTCACCAACTCCAGCTGGGACTCTCACATGATCTCCTTATCAGTCTAAAGAGACAGAACGAATTGTTCAGCAGAAGAAAGACGATGGCAATGTATGGCTCATAGACCTGTGAAGGTACAGTGTTGTGCAGCTCCGAGTGACTTCGAGGAGGGCAACGTAGAAGTTATATTGGTTTTATACTTTAGAATCACAAAGGCTGACATAGAATAATCATGTCGTGTTTTATTGGATTTTGAGGAGGTGGTTTTTCCTCTGGTGTCCCAAGGACCTATCACACATATCCTTGCTTCATATCATCCACCACACTCCAATCCCACTAGGCTGCCTTCTGCTTAGACTTTGGATTTTTACTTAGTCATCACTTCCTTTAGAAGCCTCCTTGTCATCGAATCCTGTAGCTTGGGCTTACTTTATTTTGGTTTAGGTTTATTTTAAAGTTGCAAATTGTTAAAAGCACTTTTTTCTTTCTTAATATTTTTAGATTTTGCCATGAGGCACATGTGCTCACAGGAGAGAGACAGAGACAGATAAAGAGGGAAAACGAGAAATCACTCCCTAGGGGAGAAGGCCACATCACAATCCCTTCTCCTGTATTCTCCTCTTAGGATTTTGGGCATGCACATACACACTTACAGAGGGTTTTCAGGCCTTTGGGTCTGGGACTTGAACCAGAGTCAGCCAGGTGAGATTCAGTGCCTCAAGCACCATGCCACCTGCTGGCCTTAAATAAAAAGCACTTTTAAAAGTTTTGCATTCAAGATATTGTTAAATCATTTGGAAACAGGGATCTTTAAGCATCAATGGTTCCAAATTACTTTATTCTTATCTTGATAAACCTTGTTTTCCTTGAAGTGCAGGAGATTGAAATGTGATCAAATATATCACAATATAGTAAATTAACTTTATCAATAAAATTGCAATTTTATTTGAATTAATTTATCTTTGTTTTGTTTTTGTTTTTTGTATTTTCTTATTTTGTTCTTTTTTTTTTTTTTACTGTCCTGCTGACTTCACCTATTTATTCTATTCTTCAATAAGATTTAAATTTTTGATTGCCAGAGGGCTGAGCACTTGTTAGAGAGAGAGAGGAAAAAAGCCCCCATCATCAGGGCGTGGTCATGCCGCAATTCTTCCTCCATTTCTTATCCCATCAGGATTTTGGGCACACACATTCATACCCAGCGTGTTTTTCAAGCCATGAGAGCCAGGATTCAAACTGTGGTTAGCCATGTGGGATCCAGTTCCCAGTGCGCAGCACTTCATTACCGCACTACAGGACTGGTCCAATATGATTAATTTTTATAACCTGCAGATAAACCATGACACCAAAATTTTTAAATTGTACAATAGCTCTCGATGAATTACAACTCCTTCATAGTCTAGGTATTATTTACCTTTCCAATATTGACTTCTTCCCTTTGTCAGAGAACCAGAGCAACACTAAAGTAAATTTTAATTGGAAATAATTTTAATAGGAAAAAAAAATTCGTCTAGAATTGAGCTCAACCCAGAAAACAAGGGACAGTGGGGATTTCTAGTCAAGGAGCTGACAATGGATGGGAAAGTATTAAGAGTAGAAATTAAGGAGCTTCTTGCTAAACCAACTTAAGACAAGCCAAGGTGATCATTTATTGAAGATGGGCAGATGAGGAATTCGATCAGATGTTGAGGGTAAGCAGATGCCAAGGGGTGGGGGCAGGGGTGGGATCCTTGCTCACTGATTTGGCAGAGATCTTGCTAGAACTGGACCATGCAGGCCCAGCAAGGCAGGGGCCAAGATGGAGTATTAATCCAGAAGAACCTGACTATAGTCAAAGAGTCTTTGACACATGTCATCTGTCAAGACCTACATTCCAGTTATACCATTCCTCTTCCAAGGAACCAATAGTTCTTGCTCCTTTTCTCCCAGACCTCAGTGTATGACAGCTTCGTGGCCTGGTCTCCCCTACACTCCATTTCTCTTGGTGTGGATATTCCTTCAGGTCTTAGGTTAGATAACTAGCTGCAGTTTTCCCAGAACTCCTTCCCTTGAGGACTTCAAGTCTCAACAAAGAGAAAGAAGAGACAGAAATTGAGAAATTACCCCTGAGGGGTGGGGATGGCCACAATCCCTTCTTCATTCTCCTCTCGGGATTTTGGGCATGCATGCATAGGCTCCTGGTCTGAATTTTAAGCCACCAGGTTTGGGACTTGAAACACGATCAATTATTTGGGAGTCCAGCAAGATGTAACAATTATGCTATCTGCTGGTCCCTCAGCCAGCAACATACATTTATTTATTTATTTATTTATTTATTTATTTTTAAGAGAGGTTTTTGCTATAGGGTGTGTGCATTTGTCCAAGAGACAAAGAAAAACAAAAAGCGAAAAATCACCCCCCAGGGGGAATCCCCATGCATCAATACCTTCTCCTCCAGTCTCCTCTTGGGACTTTGGGCACACATGCACACACACCCGGCATGATTTTTTTTTTTTTTGGAGAGGTTTTTGCTGTAGGGTGTGTGAGCTCTCCAGACAGACAGAGAGAGATAGAGAGACAGAAAGCGAGAAATCATTCCCCAGGGGGGATGGCCACGCCACAATCCCTTCTCCTCCATTCTCCTCTCGGGATCTTGGGCACACACGCACACGTGCCTGGCGTGAGTTTAAGCAACCGGGTCCGGGCCTCGAACCGTGGTCGACTATGTGGGAGTCCAGCGACACAGCCATTACGCTAACTGCTGGTCTCAACACCCGGCATGAATTTTAAACCACCAGGTCTTGCATTCGAACTGCTATCTCAACTACATGGGAGTCCAGGGACGTAAGCCGTCTGCTGATCCCCTCTGCCAACAACTTTTAAGAGCAGCCCCAGCCTCCTATGCTCCATTAGTTGGTATTCTGTCTGGTTCGCCATCATATTTTTAGATCCAACTTAGTTCCCAGCACAGAACAGATACTCAACATGTATGTATCAAATATATGGATAACAATGATCATGTCTTACTTTATCTGAAATCCTTGGGTGGGGGAGGGAATAAAATTAGAATTTACAGCAGTTGTTATGGATCCAGGCCCTACTTCATAATTCAGGAAGGCTGAATATTCTCAGGTAAAGATTCCAGATTCCAGGTTGGGAAGAGGGACATTCTTACCTGGGTTGTTAGGACTTGGGAAACAGGTAGGAAGATCAGCCTTATTGAAAAAATCCAGGGAAAATTCTTTTAGCCTATTAAATAGGTGATTTTTCTCAGCACACTGATAATGACCTTTTCCCATGGCTTGTTACCAGGATGACTGTGCACTGGAAAAAAGAAATAATCAGATC